TGAAAGGACGAACATTTTTTCATGTTGATTAGAAACTATGATTTCCTCTTTCATAAATTGTTTATTCATATCTTTGGCCCATTTTTCTATTAGGCTGTTTTTCTCTTATTGATTCACAGAAATTGTTTATATAACTGAATATTGATTCCCTTAAGGTAAGTATAGGGTCTTATCCTATCTCTAGCTTGTCTTTTTATTTTGTTTATTGTGTATTTTGAGCTGCAGAAATTTTTATTTTTAATATGAGTAGAATTAATCAACCTTTGCATTTAGAGTTTGGGCTTTTTTAGGCCTTAAAAAAAAAAAATCCTTCCTATCCCTAAATCACAATCTCCTGCTTTTCACACTAAGATTCACTGACTAACTTAGATTTGATTTTTGTATGCTGTGAAATAATAATCCAAATTTTTACATAGATATAACCAAAAGTCTAGCATCCTTTATGTAACAGTCTGACTTTTCCTTATTTATATACCATTTCAATATCTAAGTGGGGGTAAATTTTATTATTTTTCATTTGCCCACCTTCCTCTTTAATTACAAACTTAGTGGAGAGATGGACCATCCCATTTGCCATTTATCCCTGGTCTTAATATGCAGTGGTTACTTATTAATATTCATTGGATAATAAGTAGGAATAGGCAAGAGGGAAAGAAGTGTAGCACACACAAAACAGGTCACATAGTAGAATGCAGTGTCAAAAGAAAAGGTTGCAAAGGTAGGAAAAACCTGACCATAATAAGGAGCTTATCTGATACATAATGAGAAACCAGTAAGAATTTCAAGCAGAGAAATTCTGCAAATTTTAAAGTCTGACAAAAACAAGCATTGAGACAACATACGGCAACACATACTGTGCTGGGAGAGGGAGAAAAAACTATCCAAACACTTAGGAGGGCAACTTGATAATATCTTGTAAAGTTGAAGATATGTAGTCTACAGCCCACCAATTCCACTCCCAGTATTTACCTTCAAGACACTCATACACATGAATGAGGAAAAGGTATTAGGATGTTTACTGCAGGATTTTCTATAATCTTTAAAACTGGAAACAATCTAACATATATTAACAGAAAAACGAGTATGTAATGGCAGAGTAATATATTGTAATACCATTCAATAACTAAAATAAATTAGGACTGTATGTATCACCATGAATAAATCTCAAAAATAATGTTGATCAAAAACGGCAAGTTTCTGCATACTAATTTTCTATAAAGTTAACAGTGCTATGTTTTGTTATAAATACACAGAAACGTGGGAATAGAAGAAAATCATGCATGAAAATAACACTAAATTTAGGATAATGGTTACTTTGGGGGCAGAATCAGAGCAAGAACAGGCCATTAATGTTTCATTTAAAAATATACAGATCTGAAGCAAATACAGCAAAGCATTCAGATCTGACAAAGCTGTATGGTGGGTGTATGAATGTTCCTTACATTATTCTCTCTGGTTTTCTACTGAAGAAAAGATGACTTTGGTGGCAGTATGGAAAATGGAATGAAGTGGGGAAAAGGCAAAAAAGGAAACAAAGAGGACAGTCAGAAGACTTTTGAAGTCCAGTGAGAAATGACAAGCAGTAGCAATAAGGATAAAACCTGAGGGCCTGAGAAAAGAGTGAAGCTGAGAGAGATTAAGAAAATAAAATCAGCAAGATTAGGTGACAGATCAGATATAAGAAGTAAGAACAAAGTAGAAATTTTGGGTTCACAGTCATTCCTCCTCAAAACTGGACAATAGGTGGAATGGGTTTCAGGAGATTAAGTAAGACCTACTGAGACTGAAAGACCTGTTTAATATTAAAGATCCAACAGGAGGCAATGCAGCAAAGTGATCAGCAACACAGGCTCTGTTATCAGGTATCCTGGGTTCAAATCCAGATTCAACCACTTAAACACATTAATTAACCATTCCAAACCTCAGTTTCCAAATCTGTAAGAAGGGGTGGGTAGAGTGTTAATAAAAACAACTATTCCCACCGGTCTCTGTGAGGTGAAATTAGATGCCTGTCAAGTGCTATGTGAAATCCTGGACACAGACTATTTCTTCAATAAATGCCTACAGCTACCATTTATGACTCTTCCTTCTCATTTATAGCACAAACTTCTATTTTATACATCACTTAGGATTCCTCAATGATTCCACCTGGGTTCCTCAAGCACTTATGCATATGTAAAAATTTGCTTAAAGATGCTTAGCAGTATACCTTCTTTAAAATTTCACTAAAGTCAGCATCATTTTCCAACTCAAGAACATAGCCTTTATCACATGAATGTATTATGCATGAGATCTAGGCCCAAAACCTATGGAATTCTACTAAATAAATACATTCAACCATTATCTAGCAGAAAGCATATGAGCAATATGCCGGGCACTTGGAAGTGATAATAAAAAAGGCAGAGACAGTCCTAACCCAAATTATAGTCAATATATGTTTTGCTAACAAACAATTACAATGCAGGGTAATAATGCTAAAATAGGGTGCTAGAGAACGCAGAGAAAAAGGAACTCTTCCAGAATTTAAGGAGGTCATCCTAAAGGATGGGGTATCTGATGTGAAAGATAAAGCAGGAGTCAGGAGAGTAAGGCAGGTGGAAATTTGATTTAAAATAAATAATGTTCTAGGCAGAGGAAACATTTTGTCCAAAGACCCAGAATCGGCAGAGAAAATAAACTGTTGAAGGAGCTGAAAAAAGTTTAGTACACATAAAGTATGCAGTACAAGTATGAAGGACTGAACATGAAACTGGTGACATACGTAGAAAAAAGACTGGGAAGAACTTTGTAAGCCATGCTCTGTATGATTGAATTAAATGAGATAATGCTTAAGAGTGTTTAGTACAGTTCCTGATAAAAAAAATAAGTGCACACTAAATATTTTTTGCCTACTAGTATCTAACACTCTCCCCTTTTTTCGCCACAATTTGGAATGTGACAATATACTCACCCCCAAAAAAATATTTTCCATCTGGTCTTCCTTAGTTGGTTGCCAGAAAACTAGTTGTAGAGAACTTAATAAATGTCTTAGATGGTCTGTTTCATTTGTAAAATGGGAACCATAATACCAACTTTGAAAAAGCAAAACAACAAAATAATACCAACCTTGCAGGGTTACTGTAAGGACTAGAAGGAGTGTGAAGAGTTCCTAGAGGAGTGCCAGGGCACGTTATCAAGGACCCCCCCAAAAACCTCCTCGAGGCTCCTATAAAGGCAAATTGGCAGACAAGCCAGAGAAAAGGAAAGCAGAAAGCTCTGGCTTCCCTTTAGGACTGTGCAGCAGGAATGCCTTAGAAATAAAGTCACTGTAGGACTAAATACTCTTTGAAAAAAACAGCATTAGGTGCATACACCAAAAATGTTAAATTATAATGAAAGAATCAATACCAGTCTGATGATATGTTCATTTTTTCCTAATATGTAAGCTCTTTCAAAAAAGAAAAACTGACCTTCTATAATTTACTTTTTTCCACAATTACTTTGTATTAAAAGATATATAAATATGTCTGTATTTTTCTGTGACCTGTTTCTTGATATCTAAAACTCCCATATATATTTTTTCTTCTTTTTTTAATACAAATAAAAATTTTGGAAAAAAAATTGCTAAATCCCATTGATGTGAACAACTAGTGTCATTTTACATATCATTTTCCAAGTATTTTAAATACAATTAATATGAAGGCTTTTCACTCCATGTTGTACTATTCTGATTTAAGACCCAAACCAAACAAATATTGGATTAGTAATGTCTGAAGAGTATTCACTTTTGTGAAAGCAAAATATCAAACTCTCTGAGTACATTTAAAATAAGACAATTTATCATAATTCGATTTATTCTCAGCCTTCAAGTAACACAACTGGGATTTTAGAAAGAGGTACCCTGTATAAATTTCATATCATGTAATTTTTGTCTGACTCTAATGTGTCTTACTATCAAACTAAAACATTTATTTCTACTTACTCCTTTTTCTCCCTAATGGTCTCGTTCAATGGCACCTAAATTCTAAGAAAATTTTATTGAAATGGCAATAAAATATCACAATATATTTGACAAAGGACGCATCAAGCTATATCATTTTCTTAAAAAGCAAAGATAAACTAAAGGATGATATTAACAAAATCAAACAAAAATTTTTCCCACTATTATACAACTATTATGAACAGAAAATCATAAACGTATTGAAGGTTATGCTAAATTTCCCATGGGGAAAAAAAGCACAGTTCAATATAAAAAGCTTATTCTAAATATTTCAAGTAAGAAATCCTTCAATGTTACTAACAGAAGCTATAAATCCAAAGGAGATAAGACTATCCTTAGGACTTCTTACAGAGAAGGCTTGGAAAGAGTTACTATTTCAGAAGAAGAAAACTTCATAGATCTTACTCAGTGTCATAAGTACTACTAAATATCCGGTTAGGGTTCACATAAATGCCCTCACTAATCCCTCATTATGTCTTAAGGTCAATTCATCTAAATTTGTTGATGCTAAACTTTCAATCATCATACTACGAGTGTCCTCTATGTTAAGGTGATTTAACTGTGGTCTCTCAAAGACATGTCTAGCTCTCCAGGTCCTCATCAGTTATCATGTAAAACTGCCAAGCAATGAGTGAAAAATTTACTGGAAACCACAAAAATAAGTGCCCAAAAAATCCCAGAACTCCTAAAAGAGTAAATCTTTTGTTTTAAACCTTGAAAAAAATATAGGGCAAAATCTATTAAAGTGTTTAAAATAATCTTAATTATTTAATGACTAGCCACATAAAAAATATTCACTAACTCTGCCAATCTTCAAAGAAAATGGTAAATCTAGACATAAAACAAGCAAATTAATCTCACGTTGCCTTCAGTGCCAATTAATCAATCGATTTCAATTGATCAATTAAATTTCTTAGGTAGAAATTACCTAAATATATCATTCAGCTTAAAGCTACTATTTGTGAACATCTCTCTTCATTTTCGGTAACATTTTTAAAAAAAATCTCTAGTAAAAACCTACCTTTGAGGTTCTTTGAAGTTGATCACCAACATACGTTTTACGAAACTGATCCAAGAACCACAGAATTGCAAGCTCTATTTTCTCATTAGAACACTGAGGCAATCCGGTATCCATTAAAGATATAAGCTGAAAAACTCTTTTCATGAAGGAGAAAAAAAGCTTCAGTAAAAGTTCTTGGAGAAACAACATTAAAACATTTATTGTCAGTGTAATATAATATATAATCACTGTAAAATGTCGAAAAATACAAAAGCATATAAAGGTAATATTTTTAAAAACATCTGAAATCTTACTACTAAGAGAGTACTATGAGATACTACAATTTGGTCTAAGTCCCTAATTCCTTCTAGTCTTTTTCCTAAGACATACACATATGTGTACATACACAGAAACCTACAAGGACATACTTATTATTTCATTAAAAATTTATATATAAATACATGACATATACATATAAATATTATGCATATATATAAGTAAATACCTATAACTCTATATAACATATACAGATATAAATTAATATATCTATATAAAATTTTGGTAAAAGAAAAATGATATTGAATGTATAGTTTTGTATTTTACTTTTTCAATAAACCTTATGTTTTTATATAATTATATATTTGGGGGTCATATTTTCAATGAAAAATAAAAATTTTATCTGGAATAATTTACAAGGTGATCTTAATAAAATCAAGTATTTTTAATACAAGTACACAACTATTATTACCAGATAATCATAAATTAACTGAAGGTTAAGTCAAATTTCCTAGAGGAAAAAATGTAATTCAATATAATGAAAAGCTCAGTCTAGAGTTTTCAAAAGAGAAATCCTTGTATTACCTATTTTCATTAAAAATTTCCAGTGGATGGCTGCCAAGTGCCTGATGTTAACAAAATCAGCTTATTAGAATCATCTTTTTTAAAGGCCAAGATGTAGAGGTTGTTGAGGACCAGCACCTTTTTCTTCTTTTTTCTAACTGCACAAAGGCAGCTATGTCTAGCCCCGACCTGTACACTTCCTTCCGTGCATGCACACAGGAACATATACATATGCTGTTAACAGTTTATATGTCCTTCTAGAGATTTTTTTAAATGTATATACAGGCAAATATGACTATATATTCTCCTCCCAACTCCTTTCAACATATGGAACATACTATACTTATGATTCCAAACCTAGCTTTTTCCATTTAACTATCTTACAGATCTCTCCATGTCAGCCATTAAGAACTTCCTTATTCTCTATTGCAGTTGTTTAACATTTTATTACATGAATATACCATTATATTTTCAAACATTCTCCTACACATGGGCATGGCTTAAAATTTTTTGCTGTTGCAAAAATGCTGCAATTAACCATCTTGTACACATCATTTTCACACATGTAATTATAACACACACTTCTAAAAGTAAAACCACTAGTTTAAAGAACATAAATTTGTATACTGTTGATCCTATTAATAAATTGCTCTCCATAGAAATTGAAACAATTTATATTCTTATCATCAATCTATAAGTGTCTATATACACTCAGATAATTCAGATGAGAAACTCTAAAATTCATTGAAATCTGAAAAATGGCATCTCAGTGCAGTTTTATTTTGCATTCTTTCATGTATGTGAGGTTTAAATTTTTCCATGTTTTTAAGGCATATATATGTCCTTGTCTGTGACATATTTGTCCATATCCTTTGCCAATTCTTCCTACTGGGTTGTCTTTTTATTATTGATTTCTACAAATTCTTTATGTATTAGAAAACTGAGTCCTTTGCCTTTGATTCAGCTGTAAATATTTTTCCTCAGTTTTCATTTGTCTCTTGACTTTGATTATGGTGTTTTTTAATGCTACGGAGAAGTTTTGTTATATAAAATTTTCACTCATTTTTTTAAGATTTATTTATTTCTTTTAGAGAGAGAACACATGAGTGGGGGGTGAGTGCAGAGGGAGAGAATCTTCAAGCAGACCCCCCGCTAAGTGCAGAGCCAGACTTGGGGCTCAATCTCACCACCCACAAAATCATGATCTGAGCCAAAACCAAGAGTTCAATGCTTAACCGACTGAGCCACCTGGGCACTCCTTTCATCAATTTTTTAAATGGATTATGCATACTAACAAGGTCTTAGCTAAATCTGAGGTTTTTTTTTTTTTTTTTTTTTTTTTACATTTACCTCTCTGACACATTTGAACTTATCTTGAACACATTTTGTGAGGTATGGATCAACATTTTTTCCCATTTTCCCCATTTTAGCCAGGTGCTTCAACACCATTTCTTTCTTATATAGTCTATCTTTTACTCACCATTTCAACCAAATCCCTTATCATATACACTGGGTTCATTTATGCATTCAGATTACTTTACTGGACCTTGTGTTCTATTCCAGCGATCAGTCCCAATAAATATATCTTGATCAATTATCTTTTTCATATTATTTAATATTTTTCCAAAACATTATTTTTAATGGATATAAAATATTAAAGACTATCTCAAAATTTAAGCATCTCATTCTGAATGTAAATTCATATTTCAGGGAAATATAACTATTGCCCTCTTCCCTACTTCCAAAGAATTCTACAGAGTGTTTTAGGTTATAGTGTATGAACTTTTAAAAAGTTGGGACTTGTGGGATGCCTGGATGGCTGAGTCAGTTAAGCGTCTGACTGTTGGTTTCTGGGATAAGCTCAGGTTATGATCTTGGGGTCCTGGGATTGAGCCCCAAGTCAGGTTCTGAACTCAGAGGGAAATCTGCTTGTCCCTCTCACTCCCCCTCTGCTCCTCCTTGCACTCCCTTTGTCAAAATAAATAAATAAATAACAATCTTTAAGAAATAATGAAAAAAAAAGGAAAAAAGTTGGTACTTGTTGCCAAAGTGTTATGAAATAATATGTTGAAAACCATTTTATGGTTATGATTTCCTATATTATTTAAAAGTAACCTTCATTTACCAAATATCTTTAATACCATTAAAATTTATGAAGGGAAACTTACTGAAGAACAAATTTAAGAATTAGATTACTGTAGCCAGGTTGCTAGAGTTTTTTTTTCCCTAAGATGTGTCTGTTCTATAATTTTGAGAGGAGTGACAAAGCTGACTTTCAGTCTGGGTATTTCTGAATTAGCAGATAGTTGGAGTAATTTTTAAATAAATAGATATATGCCTCAAACTATGTCTAGATCCAGGTGATATTTCACGTGACTTAAATAGATATATCTTTTTTTTTTTAATTCTTTACTGAGTGGGACCTCCCTTTTCCTACTCTAGCTCTTTGTTGATTCTATGTACTTGCTCCTTTACTTTTATTTCCTTTTTATAACATACATTTCAAAACCCTAGGAAGATGTGAAACCAGAAGACAGTTTGTTGGGATGCCTTTATAACTCAAGTGAAGCTGGTGATTTGCATTTGCCTAAGAGGAAATGGCATCCCAGCAGGAAAGCAGGAAAGAGTCCCCAGCAGGGTCCAGGATCCATTTGTCAAAGAAGTTTTGGTAGCTGTACAAGAAGTTCAGCTGTAACAGCCTAACATCCAAATAATCATGGCTTAAACAATATAGATATTTATTTCTCTCTCAGGCAAATATCTAAGACAGCGCTCTAGGACTAGCTAGTGGTCCACGGGTGTGCCAGAGAATCAGGTGCCTTTCATCGTGTTGTTATACTTGCCTCCATTCACACAATCACTTTCTGGTTGATGATGGGTACTTCAGATCCACCCATTTTGTCCATGTCTTGCACATACCACATCTGCCTAGAACACAATCACTTAACCACACCTAGCTGCAAGAGAGTCTAGTAAATCTAGTCTTTATTCAGGTAGCCACATGCCTGGCAAAAGAATCAGGTATTCTATTACTTCAAAAGAAGGGAGGAAGAGACACTGTACAGCTAGTAGTCTCTGCCACAGTGCCCTTCAAAGATCTGTGGCCACCTTGAAAAGTACTTAAGACCAAAGCTTGTATTGCATATATAATATTCACTTTCAGTTTCAATTTATTGTCCTACATTTTTTTCACTTCGTTAAATTATTTTTGGTAAAGAGCACAGAGGGAATAAAAAGACAAATACATCATTAAATAATGTGGTCCAAGTATAAGCACACCATTTCAAATTCAAAGAAATGGATTTTGGATACTCAGTTGTTTATATTCCCCTACCTATCCAAATAAATAAGTATTCATTCGGTCAACAAATATTTGAGGGCCTACTATATGGCAGGTGTGCATTAGAAGTCCAGAATATAACAGTGAACAAGATATAGACATTCCCAGTCCTCCAGATATCTATAGTCTATACAGGGAAAGACATAAAACTAGCCATTAAAATAAAGAATGACAAATGCTAGAATAAACAATACAAAGAAATTAGCGAAGATTCATAATATTCTAGGATGGAACAGGGCAAAGAAAGAGTGTGTTAAGAGAAAGGAGAAAGCCTAACTAGAGAGGGAAGAAAAAGCATGGCTCATATAAGGGCTGAAAAAAGTTAAATGGCTATAAAGCAATCAGCGGCAGGAGATGAGGCTAATGAGACAGGCAGGAGCCAGATCATGAAGAACCTGATGAGCCATGTTGATTTTAATCCCAATAGCAATGGAAAGCATTACAGAGTTTGAGCAAAGCACTGACATAATCAGATCTGTACTTCAGAAAGCCAGAGAGGAAGCAAGGTATCTATTTAAAACTGCAGCATGAACCCCTATGAAAGATGATAGGAGCTAAAATGGCAGGGGAGATAGAAACAACTTGACTAACTGGCCTAACTAGAAGGTAGAACTGACAGGATTTGAAGATGAAGACTACATGGATGTTGGAGAGAGATAAAAGGAAAAGTTAAGGATAACTCCTGGGATGCAGGCTTAGACAAATGAGTGGACGGTGATGAAACACGTGAAGAGAGTCAGGGGTGGAAGGGGAAGGAAGAGAGGAGTTTAGTTTTAGTTACTGAATTGAAGACATATGTGGAACAGAACATGTAAGTGAAACAGTTCAACACGTATCTGGAAGTCAGAAGACAAGAACTACTAAACAGAGAATCACTGAGCAATGCTGAGGGCTCAGCTGAGGTAAAAATGATACCTTAATTGACAAATGGTACCTATATACAGAGGTATACAATTTCTTTTATTATCACTCAACAA